GCTATGCAACCCAAATTATGGATTTTGATTTGACCCGTGGATAAATCGTGGATCATTCGACAGAGAAGAGAAAGCACCAATGTCACTTTAGGGGTCCAGCCACCCCTGGCCACCAACCTTTTCCCACCCATGTGTTCAAAAAGGCATTTCCACACTCAACTCAAGAGTAGAGGATGGTTCTAAAAGGGACGTGGTTTTAAAAAGGGAGTTTTCAGAGATGTTCCCAATGCCTATATGTCCTAATTTACTGGCATATTGGCCTATTTTTGCAGTAGGCCTATGTTTACAGAAATGCTGATTGTTTGAGAAAACTGTTGCAGAGAAGAAGTTACTACTCAAGGATAACACTACATCCGGACAAAACCAGCTAGTTGGTGACTAGTTAGGACTCCCAAGTTTCCCAATCGCTCTGGGGTCATGTTTGCCACAGACTAACGGATAATATTGACTCATTAAGGCAGTCATGGTCAGAGAACAATAAACTATAGTTGTGTTATAGTTGTGTCATTGTCTAATGAAATAATTTGTCATTGGGAACCAATTAAAATGTATATTCAATTTATTACCAAAGTGATAAAAGCTCTGCAGCCCCACTGGGTGTTGCGACAAACCCTTTGATTGCATTCCTGTTTGCTTGTTCGTTGTTATTGCTATGGCCTCGCAATAAATAGTTTTTGGGGTTTTTTTTGTTTGTTTTTTTGCAGTTTGAAGATTCAACCTTCGTGGTGTCCTCCCTCGTCCTCCCTATTGGAAAGGGGGCTCCTGCTTTTTGGGAAATATTTTAGTTTCTTTGCCCCTACATTTCCATGTTTGATCAAACCTATATAAACTCTTATAATAAAAAAGGAGCCACCTGCTTCTCTGAGTCAAGTGGGGAAAGGCGAGAACTTAGTCCATCCTGGGAGAACCTAAAAGAAACACCAAACTCCTGCACTCACTCAGCGCTCCTTTAAGGGAGGTTCCAAAGAGTGGGTACTGCCTTGGCTATTTTCCTGCCCAGACATTCAAAAAGGTGAGAAATGACGCCATGGTAGGGAAAGCAGAAAGGTGGTGCTTCTTATAAGTCCCTCCAGGATGGACTATGCTCTTGCCTTTCACCACTCCACACAGAGAAGGGGACAGTTCCTTTTTTGATAAGATTGGTACTTTAATTGACCCATGGATAAGTTGATCCAGGTTTTTTGGGGGGGAGGAGGTCAATTTTTAGTCTAAAAGTTTTAGACGTATACTTGAGTAAATAATGCTTTTTGCTCTTTTCCACCTAAGTTGTACATTTCTGACGCACATATACACACCACAACTTTCGATGAAGCCATTGGCATTTTCCCATGAAATTGTGATTAGCATTTCAAAGACAGCACTGTTCTTTCATAAATACTCTCAAGGTTCTTTCATAGAAGAACCTTGGAATTATTTATGATCAAATGAGAACTGGAATATATGTAATGTCTGAAAAAAAGTGGGGAAAGGCCAGTTCCAAGGCCAGTTCCAGTTCCAGTTTGAGTCCTTCAAAGGGTTCAGGAGCCCCCGGTGGCACAGCGGGTTAAACCGCTGAGTTGCTAAACTTGTTGACCGAAAGTTTGCAGGTTCAAATTTGAGGAGCAGCGTGATCTCCCGCTGACAGCTCCAGCTTCTGCCAACCTAGCAGTTCAAAAGCATGCAAATGCTAGTAGATCAATAGGTACCACTCCGGTGGGAAGGTAACAGTGCTCCATGTAGTCATGCTGGCCACATGACCTTGGAGGTGTCTACGGACAATTCCAGCTCTTTTTGGTTCTACCATTACCTATAGGTTCAATGCATTACCTAGCAGTTCAAAAACAAATGTGAGGAAATAAATAGGAACCACATTAAAACAGGGAGGTATTTAGGCACTGCATTTCGATCAGAAAAAGGAGGAAGTTTACGAACAAAGAAAGCTCTCCGGCAGGGAGATGGAGTGACAGCACCCCCTGTGGCCAGAACCAAGCACAGCCTCCAATGATGCCGAAAGATGGGAAAGCCTATACATATGTCTATCTGTTGTCTGTCTTGTCATTGTATAATTCACATTGGATGTTTGCCATATATGTGTTCTGTGATCCACCCTGAGTCCCCTTTGGGGTGAGCAGGGCGGAATATAAATACTGTAAACAAACAAATAAATATTGCTTTATTTGCACGTTTTCGAACTGCTAGGTTGGCAGAAGCTGGGGCTGACAGCGGGAGCTCACACCGCTCCCCAAATTCGAATTGCCAACCTTTCGGTCAACCACTTCAGCAGCTCAGCAATTTAACCCCCTGCGCCACCAGGGGGCCCTAGCGCATCTATATATAGTGGTAAAACCAAGGTTTCATTTTTGGATTTTAAAAAATAATGTTTCCAAGCCGTGGATGCTTGAATCGATGGCCACAAAAGTCCATGGATAGGAAAGGCCCATTGTGTTTTCCCCTTTGAAGAGAGCTGGTGTCTACCAAACCACAAGCCTCATAACTCCATGGCACTGTGCCATGGTAATTAAAGTGCTGTCAAACTGTATTTGTTCTACAGTGTAGAAGATGCGCCCTAAGGCTGCCACCAGACGCATGCTCTTTAGAAGAGCAATGCAAGCAAAATCACACCAGGTTCGAATATTTTTCCTGCTGTGGCTCAATGCTCTGAAATTACAGGAGTTGTAATTTTACAAGGTCTTTAGCCTTCTTTACCAAGTGCGGGAGCCTCCCCAAACTACAACTCCCATGATTCCGTAGCACTGGGCTACTATGGCTGTCAAAGGGCCTCCAAAAACTACAACTCCCATGATTCCATAGTACAGGGCTATGGCTGTCAAAGTGCCTCCTCCAACTACAACTCCCATGATTCCATAGCACAGGGCTAGCAGGGTGAGCTCCCACTGTTAGCCCCAGCTTCTGCCAACCTAGCAGTTCAAAAACATGCAAATGTGAGTAGATCAATAGGTACCGCCCTGGCAGGGAGGTAACAACGCTCCATGCAGTCATGCTGACCACATGACCTTGGAGGTGTCTATGGACAACGTCGGCTCTTTGGCTTCGAAATGGAGATGGGCACCAACCCCAAGAGTCAGACAAAACTAGACTTAATGTCAGGGGAAAACCATTTCTTTTACCTATGGCTGTCAAACTGTGTTCATTCCACAATGCAGACGCACCCAGCATTCCTAATTTCACCATCCCTCCTCCATGCCACCCTTTGCAAACCTCTCCAAGGGTACATATACACTTAATTATTTCTTAAATGACATTTTATACATTCCTTAGTTATGTATCACCCATCACCCCCGCCCTCCCCCCATTTCCCCCACCCCCCTGGAACAGCAGTTCTAAATGATGTATTTGCATCAGTTCAACCGAAAAGCCTGGTCCAAAATGCTATATGTCATCTCCGTCTATTCTGTCAATTAGCATAGACTATTTCCTTAACCAGTCTTGTTCTTTTTGACTATTTATATACTTGTTTTTCCTTTGATGGATGAAATTATTAACTATATGATTTCGCCAAGTTTCTAAATCCCATTTTGTATTGTCTCTCCATCCTCGGGCTATTGTGGCTTGTATTGCGGCTGTCATATTTTTTAAGATTTCTGTCCAGTTATTGTTATCTTCCTTTTGGAATAATGTATGTATGGCAAAAGTTTGTTAATTGTTGTGAGGTATCAAATAAAATTTATAATTATTAAAAGAAAAACATATACACTGTAGATATAACTCATTTTAACTACCAAGACTCAAAGCTATGGAGTCATGGCAGGGCTCTGAAGATCACCTGGGAAGGAATCCCACTGGAGCATTGCAGCGCACCCAAATACCTGGGAATCACTCTGGACCATGCTCTTACCTACAAGAAGCACTGCCTGAACATCAAGCAAAAAGTGGGTGCTAGAAACAATATCATATGAAAGCTGACTGGCACAACCTGGGGATCACAACCAGATACAGTGAAGACATCTGCCCTTGCGCTGTGCTACTCTGCTGCTGAGTACGCATGCCCAGTGTGGAACACATCTCACCACACTAAAACAGTGGATGTGGCTCTTAATGAGACATGCCGCATTATCACGGGGTGTCTGCGCCCTACACCACTGGAGAAATTACACTGCTTAGCTGGTATTGCACCACCTGACATCCGCCGGGAAGTAGCAGCCAATAGTGAAAGGACCAAGGCAGAGACATCTCCAGCTCATCCCCTGTTTGGGTATCAGCCAGCACGTCAACGACTTAAATCTAGAAATAGTTTTCTAAAGATCTACAGAGACACTCGCTGGAACACCTCAGCAAGCGAGAGTCCAAAAGTGGCAGGCTCAAACCCAGAACCTCAATCCGGTGCTGATACCAAATGAGAGACTCCCTCCTGGGCACACAGAAAACTGGGCGACTTGGAAGGCGCTGAACAGACTGTGCTCTGGCACCACGAGATGCAGAGCCAACCTTCAGAATCCTCGACATGCGAGTGTGGAGAGGAGCAAACCACTGACCACCTGCTGCAATGCAACCTGAGCCCTGCCACATGCACAATGGAGGACCTTCTTGCAGCAACACCAGAAGCACTCCAAGTGGCCAGATACTGGTCAAAGGACATTTAATCAACTACCAAACTTACAAATTTTGAATTATGTCTGTTTGTTTGTTTGCTTTGTTCTGTTAGAAATGTAATATAATTGACTGGCTGCCCTGACACGAGAAATAAATAAATAAAATGGCAGGGTACAGCTTTACAGTCTTTCGCCTTTTCTTTGCCAAAGAGTGCTGGTGCCTCACAAAACTACAACTCCCAGGATTGCATAGCTTTGAGAACCCTGGCAGTGAAAAGTGCTGTCAAGCTGCATTCCTTCTGCAGCAGATGCACCGCCTGTGCATCATCATCATTATTATTATCATCATTATTATTGAAAGAGCAATGACAGCAAATGCACAGCTCCTGCATCTTGTTCCCTCTCTTTGCTTGCAAACACATCACATCCCCCGCCCAGGAGAAGCCTTCCTCCAGCCCCACCGCCCCTCCCTTGGCTTTAGGGGCGGAGTGAGTGCTGATTTAATAGGCTTGCTGTCGCCTTTGAGCCTCCTTCCTCGCCTTGGCAAGCCTTTTGCTTCCCCAGAGAGGAGCCATGTCCAAGTTCGTGGAGCTGAGCACCAAAACCAAGGTGCCCATTGTGGGGCTGGGCACCTGGAAGGTAGGCAGTGGCATCTTGCATCCCCATCTGCCAGTTCTTCCTTCTCTTTCCCGCATTTGTCCTCTTTTCAATCCACCTCTCCTTTTTTTGCTTTCTCCATTTCCTCCCTTTTTGTTCCATAGGTTTTCCATCTCCTTGAAGCCAGAGGCTGATCTGTGATCCTTGCTTGGTTTATTAATTTTATTTTCTTTCCAAGTTGCTTTTCTGCAGTGTTGCATTTGGAACTAGCTGTGCATTTATATATACATACATTACATAAATATGTGTCTGTATATATAGATGGCCAGGGCACAAAAGAACCCACAAACAACTACAAGGCTATCATTTAATACGTAAAGGTGTCCGACTCTGGGGTGTGGTGCTCATCTCCATTTCTAAGCCGAAGAGCCGGCGTTGTCCATAGACACCTCCAAAGTCATGTGGCCGGCATGACTGCATGAAACGCCATTACCCTTCCGCTGGAGTGGTACCTACCTATCGATCTACTCACATTTGCATGTTTTTGAACTGCTAGTTTGGCAGAAGCTAGGGCTGACAGTAGAAGGTCACCCCGCTCCCCAAATTCGAACCTGTGACTTTACGGTCAGCAAGTTGAGCAGCTCAGCGATTTAACTGACTGCACACCGGGATCATAATTCAATATTATTTAGTTAATAAAAAATACGTAAGTGAGAAGGAAGCACAGTTCAAACTATTTTTAAAATAATAATATCACGTAAAATTTTAGTTTGCATATAACATGCAAATTTGCATATTATTTGCATATGATATGCCAATTTGCATGTGTATTGTTGAAGGCTTTCATGGCTAGAATCATTGGGTTGTTGTTGTGAGTTTTCCAGGCTGTATGGCCATGTTCCAGAAGCATTCTCTCCTGACGTTTCATCTGCATCTATGGCAGGCATCCTTAGAGGTTGTGAGGTCTGTTGGAAACTAGGAAAATGGGCTTTATATATATCTGTGGGAGAAAGAACTCTTGTGTGTCTATATATACATACATTACATAGGTCTGAATATTTCAGTTGGCCACCTTGATTAGCATTGAATGGCCAAGCAGTTTCAAGGTCTGGCTTCTATTATATTTTCCAGATACTAAAAGGTCATTAACATGTTAAACATATTGTCTGATGTTGGGGGGGGGGGGCATTTTGTGCAAGCTGATACACCTGGAGGGCCGAAGTTTGCCCATGCCTGATATACACACACATTTATATACACACACATACACATACAGATAGATTGGTTGTTTATGTGTGCCGTCAAGACGTATTCCACTTGCGGCAAACTTAACACAAGGTTATCTTTCCATGACTTATTCAGAAGGGGTGTGCCTTTGCTTTCCTCTGAGGCTGAGAGAGTACGACTTGCTCCTGGCTACCCAGTAGGTTTCCATACCCAACCAGGGGTTCGATCCCAGGAGTGTATCTACAACATAGAATTAATGCCATTTGACAGCACTGATGACTCAATGCTATGGAATCATGACTCAATACTTTGGAATCGTGAGAGTTGTAGTTTTGCAACATGGAGGCAGGGTACAAAAATAAAGTTGTTGTTATTATTATTATTATTATTTGAAACACAACAAGATTAGTCCACAGCAGACACTCTGCTGGCTGTTGTATTGGATCACACGTCGGACACTTCCCAAAGTGTCTAGGACTGTGTGATGTATCGGCGAATAATGCGTGCAGATCGCAGTAAGGTGGCCTTTTGCAGCTGACAGATGGTAATCTTGTCAGCGCCGATTGTGTTTAAGTGCAGGCCAAGTCTTTAGGCACTGCACCCAGTGTGCTGATCACCACTGGGACCACCTTTACTGGTTTGTGCCAGAGTCTTTGCAGTTCGATCTTTAAGTCCTCATATCGTGTCTTCTTCTTCTTCTTCTTCTTCTTCTTCTTCTTCTTCTTATTATTATTATTATTATTATTATTATTATTTTCTACAATGTAGATGCATGCACCCCTCCTCTCCGGTCATAATTGAACACTCAAACCACTATTTCTTTATCGTGTTTTCATATTTTGTAAACCTTGCTAATGAAAAGTTGTGGAACCGAGCAGGAAAATTCCTTACCCTCTGAAACGTGTGCAATTGTTAGATAATGCCTGTTGGCATTCTTTTCCGTGCCCTGTATTTATATCCAGTGCTGAAATCAGACAGTTGCAAAAAGCAAAACAAAACAAAGGAAGCATTCACATATTTTTCCGTCAGCGCTGTTCGTTGCTTTTAGGAATGAGCAGGAAAAAGATGAGCTGGAAATGCAAACGTGGCTTAGGGATAAATGAAAGTCATTTGTTAAATGTATTAGATGTATTTTTAGGGCTGCTTTTATAAATGTCTTTGGTGGAACTACTTTTTATCATTTACTTTAAGAAAACAAATTTTGAGAGTTTGCAAATCTTGTTGCCACATATTATTTCCAGTATGTGAAAATGTGACTGCATATATAGCCAGAATGGTAAACCAAAAAAGCATAAACATGTTGAAAGTGTCAATAGTGAACAATGAGGTTTGCAGAAATGCAAAATGGAGGAATATTTTGTGGTGTGAGAACTTCCCAAATAGCTCAGGCGTGTTTAGTCAAAGAAGGCTGGCTGGTTTTTGACAGTGGGGCGGGATAAATGGATATGAATAATTGCAGTGGAGGCATGCCTTACGTACCAAAACGGCAAAGGGAAGAAACACAGAGCACAAACTTGCATGTAAGCCCTCCTTATATTTTCAGTTTGAAAGATTGAGGTTGCATTAAACCACAAGCTCAAGAAGCCAACGGCAGAACAGCAGGCGGCATTTCCAGTAAAGTCAGTGGGGAGCGTTTGCAAAGTGTATATTGTATTCTTTTAGGTCCTTTTTATCTTATTCCAGATTAAGTATACACAGCCAGTTTCTAGATAGTCAAACCGTACTGGGGCCTGAAAGGAAATGAGGAAATGAATTGTTTAGCTCAATAAGGGGAACTAACAACTCCTTTTGTACAAGTGGCTAATTTATTCTTGTGCAGGGGGACTCAGGGGGGATTGTATGGCCTTGTCTCAACATAAGTGAACATCTGTTATGGCTTAAAATCCAAACATGAATATCTTGATTGCAGCCCCATGAATTTTATAGTATCTTTTAAAGAAATGAATACAAATAAACCTCACTTGATAAAGATATAATAAAGCAAAGATTGGTACCTGAAATACATTGAGAAATAACATGGAAAGAAAGAAAATTTCATAGATTCGGAAGAGACGAAAAGGGCCATCTAGTTCAACCCCACTCTGCCATGCAGGAACATAAATCAAAGCGTTCCTGACATATGACCATCCAGCCTCTGCTTAAAAACCTCCAAAGGAGACTCCACCACACACCAAAGCAGTATAGTAAAAAAAAAAAAAAAAAGAGGAATTCATTATGTCTCAACATATTTTACCCAGTCTTGACATCGGGGTATAAATAAAGTATTATTATTATTATTATTATTATTATTATTATTATTATTACAATACTTGTTTGTTTGTTTGTTTGTTGGGAGGGAGGGAGGGAGGAAAGCTTGTGCCAGTGTCCAAAAAGTAGGGCAAAATAACAGCATGTTTTAACTTTTTGTTGTTATTGAAGGTAAAGGTAAAGGTAAAGGTTGTCCCCTGACATTAAGTCCGGTCATGTTTGACTCTGGGGTGTGGTGCTCATCTCCATTTCTAAGCCGAAGAGCCGGCGTTGTCCATAGACATCTCCAAGGTCATGTGGCTGGCATGACTGCATGGAGCACCGTTTGTTGCTATTACTAGTACCTAAATCCCTGTCCATGTTTGGTTCAATTCCATCATTGGTGGAGTTCAGAATGCTCTTTGATTGTAGGTGAACTATAAATCCCAGCAACTACAACTCCCAAATGTCAAGGTCTATTTCCCTTAAACTCCATCTGTGTTCATATTTGGGCATATGGAATATTCGTGCCAAGTTTGGTCCAGATCCATCATTGTTTGAGTCCACAGTGCTCTCTGGATGTGAACTATAATTCCCAAACTCAAGGTCATAGAATCATAGAATCAAAGAGTTGGAAGAGACCTCATGGGCCATCCAGTCCAACCCCCTGCCAAGAAGCAGGAATATTGCATTCAAATCACCCCTGACAGATGGCCATCCAGCCCCTATTTAAAAGCTTCCAAAGAAGGAGCCTCCACCACACTCCGGGCCAGAGAGTTCCACTGCTGAATGGCTCTCACAGTCAGGAAGTTCTTCCTCATGTTCAGATGGAATCTCCTTTCTTGTAGTTTGAAGCCATTGTTCCGCGTCCTAGTCTCCAGGGAAGCAGAAAACAAGCTTGCTCCCTCCTCCCTGTGGCTTCCTCTCACATATTTATACATGGCTATCATATCTCCTCTCAGCCTTCTTTTCTTCAGGCTAAACATGCCAAGCTCCTTAAGCCGCTCCTCATAGGGCTTGTTCTCCAGACCCTTGATCATTTTAGTCGCCCTCCTCTGGACACATTCCAGCTTGTCAATGTCCTCCAAACGTTTCCAGTTTTTTCTGTTGGTCATGGGAGCCCTGTGTGCTAAGTTTGGCCCAATCCCATCATTGGTGGAGTTCAGAATGCTCTTTGATTGTAGGTAAACTATAAATCCCAGCAACGACAATTCCCAAATGACAAAATCAATTTTTTTTAGTGGAGGACATAAATTGGACTGTTAGGTGTCTTGTGTCCAAATTTGGTGTAAATTCCCCCAGTGGTTTTTGAGTTCTGATGGTAGCACGAACTAACATTACATTTGTATTTATATAGATATCTCCTTGTGCAAACCTTTTGTCGGAGAAATGAATTTTCTATTAGTCAAAGAACAGTCAAAGAATAGTTAAGTGTAAAGGGGAGAGATTACCGTCCCAAGAGAGCTTATAGGGCAGTATTGTGACCTCATGTGAACTGGACGCGCGAGGCGCCTCTCCTACAGCCTCAAGGCAAGATCAGCATTATTGCATAAGATATCTTCCAAGGGAAAACTTTATCAGTTGTTACCAGTCTTTTTAGGAAACGCCTGATAGTTCCCCAGAAGCGTAGGAAACCTTGAAAAACCACTGGTGTAAACAATCACCTTCCTCACTTCCTTTCTCCTCCCTAATGACATTGGATCTGTTCTTTTTCTCCAGATCTTTTCCAAGTTAGGTACATAGCAGAAACTGCCCTATGTTTTCATACATAGCTCTAGAAAATTTAATTAGAAAGTCAGCCCAAAACTAGGCATAGTGTGGCAGCTGCAGCGAGCAGCAGATTTCAGGAATCATACTTGATTGATTTATTACTCTATTTTTACTGTCAGCAGTAATGATTTGCTGCATCATGTATCAAAATCATTTGAACAACTTTGAGTGCTATGTACCTTGGCTTTAGTGGGCGTAGTATGGCATTTTCTGCTCCAACTCAGGGCAAAATGTCTTCAACGCATCCTGCGCAAATGGCAATCTGATAAGCGGGTTCTCTTGCCGTAGGGCTCATCTGTTCCTTGCAAGATTTCTCTCTAATTCGTTTATCTGGTAAACATTGCAGCCTTTAACACCGGAGGGTTGACAGTGACTTTGCATCCTTAATCAAATTGGCCTGCAAATTATTTGTCAGTTCTCGTTTTATTGTTTAGTCAAATGTCCTGAGGGCTTGAAAGATTGCCCTAACCTAATAGTTTTTATAAACTCGTGACATTTCAAGTTTTGTCTTTTCCTCTGCATATTTTTTGTCAGCCCTGGAGTGGAGAAAGGGGAAAATACCAGTGCTTTGTATAACCAACTAAGCAAACCCACCAGGATCTCTAAACCATGAACAAACCTTGATGTTTGTCTTATATCAGGTTCCAAAGTTCTGACAAAATGCTAAGCCAACTATTTTTTAATGTCTGAAGTTGCTCATTTTTGCAGTAGAAACCCATATAAGGGCTTGCAAAAGGCTTACTTACAGAGTACTAAGGTAAAGGTTTCCCTGCCATTACGTTTAGTCGAGTCAGATTCTGCTCATCTCCATTTCTAAGCCAAAGAGCCAGCATTGTCAGTAGACACCTCCTAGGTCATATGGCCAGCATGACTGCATGGAGTGCTGTTACCTTCCTGCTGGAGCAGTACCTATTGATCTACTCACATTTGCACATTTTCGAACTGCTAGGTTGGGAGAAGGCGGAGCTGACAGCGGGAGCTCACCCCACTCCCTGGATTTGAACCACCAACCTTTTGGTCAGCAAGTTCAGCAGCTCTGCGATTTAATCTACTGCGCCATCATTGTTTTTCCTTAATAAATACAAGCTAACTGAGCCAGACTGAATTTAATTAATATTACTTGCCAAAAAGTTCCTGTTCCAATTTCCAATTTTCCAATTTCATGTGGACAGTGCATGCTGGAAACAATAGCACCAGCCACATCTTCCTCTCTATATTTTGTTTTATCTTTTCCAACTTACACCCCTTACTACTTATTACCACTATGGATAAATGAGAATTACTTGCTCAACATACATTAGATGCAAAATAGTTGATTGCCCAGGACAGTCTATTTGTTCTTTAACTTATTCAAGGAGCCTGTGTAATTGCTCTTTGTAGACATACTGCTGAAGCACTGCTTGTTTTCTTTATCTATAATTAAATACAGATTGAGTATCCCTTATCCTAAATGCTTGGGACAAAAATTGTTTGGGATTCTGGATCCCCCCCCCGCCCCCCAGATTTTGGAATACCTGTATTTGCATATACTCTATATCCTCAAGTATAAGCCTAGTTTTTCAGCCCTTTTTTTAAAACTGACCCGACCCCCCCCCCCCCCCCCCCCAGCTTATAACAGGGTGAGGGTCCTGGCGGGAAAGCATGGGATTCTCTGCAAAGCAACCCAGCTCTCCTTCCTCTCCTCCTCTCTTGCGCAGCGCGTGCCTTCCTCTCCTCCTGTCGGCGCCAGTCTTTCCCACTTTTCCTTATTCATATACAACAGTGGTTCTCAACCTGGGGTCCCCGGATGTTTTTAGCCTTCAGCTCCCAGAAATCCTAACAGCTGGTAAAGTGGCTGGGATTTCTGGGAGTTGTAAGCCAAAAAAATCTGGGGACCCCTGATATACGCACAGCCTTTTCTCCAAAATGTATAGTTAAAATAAACTATGGTGATTATTGGAAGGATACATAAGTACATTTACATTGAAGAAGGTTAGAATAATCATTTAATCAGGATTGGACAGTCTTATTTTAACTTAGAGTTTTATGTAAATATTCAAAAACATTTAACCTATGGATGCCTCAATTAATGTAATTGTATTGGTATCAATTTTTATTTTGAAATTTACCCTCGATTCAATATGTTTTCCCAGTTTTTTTGTGGTAAAATTAGGGGCCCTTTCACACAGCCCTATATCCCAGAATATCTGCTTTGAACTGGGTTATCTGAGTCCACACTTAGATAATGTGGGATTTTCTGCTTGATATTCTGGGATATAGGGCTGTATGGAAGGGCCATTGGCTTATGTTCTGATCAGCTTAAACTCAAGTATATACAGTAGCTACATAATGAAATATTCCAGAGATGGGACCCAAATCTAAACATGTAATTCACTTCTGTTTCACAAATACCTGATACCTATCGCCTGAAAGTAATTTTATAAATCACTAACTGTACCCACCATGCGTTGCTCTGGCCAACCTTCTCTCCCTTTCTCTCCTTCATTCTCTCTCTCTTTCCTTCCCTTTTTTTCTTTCATTCTCTCCTTTCTTCCTTTTCTTCCACTTCCCTTCCTTTCCCCCTTTTCTTTCCCTTCCTCTTTCTCCCCTTTCTTCCTTCTCTACCTATTCTTGGACTGCAACTTCCAGCAGTCCTTCAGATCCATCCATCCATCTACCTATCTATCTATCTATCTGGAGGATTGCTGGGAGTTGCAGTCGAGGAATAGGAAATTGGAAATATGCAGGGATTGGGATGCTCTCAAAGAAATCCAAGGAGAAGAAAACTTGCAGCTTGGAAGCAGTGCATTTAGATCATCCTCCTCTCCTAAAAGGCCTGGTCTATGGGATGCTGGGAACTGTAGTCTGGAAGAGAGTGTGGATATGCTATTGTGTGCTTTGCTTGCCAGGGGAAGTTGTTTTTGCACATGCGCTGTAGCGTCTTTTTGCTTTTTTGGATTTCTAAGTCCCTCCTGTTATTTTTTTTCTGTGTTTTTATGAGTGATGGTCACTTGTTGGCCTGACAGGTGTCTTGTGTCCAAATCTGGTGTCAATTCGCCCAGTGGTTTTTGAGTTATGTTAATCCCACAAACTAACATTACATTTTTATTTATATAGACTAGCTTTCCCCTGCCATGCATTGCTGTGGCCCAGTCTGTGTATATGTGTTTTGTGTGTATATATATGTGTGTCATATTTGTGCATATGTGTATATATGTGGTTTTGCACATGTGTTGTAATGTATTTTTTTATTTTTTTTGGCTTTTTAAGTCTCTTCCATTGTGTTTTTTGCTGTTTTTATGAGTGATGGTCATTCGTTGGCCTGATAGGCGTCTTGTGTCCAAATTTGATGTCAATTTGCCCAGTGGTTTTTGAGTTATGTCAATCCCACAAACGAACATTACATTTTTATCATTTTGTGCATAAATTTTGTTTACATTGAACCGAAAACAAAGAATCTCAGCCACCCATATGGACAATTTTGGATTCTGTATTACAGAGTTTAAATCGATATTATGCCTTCATAAACCATGATTAGTACTGGCTGCAAACTATACTTGGATTTGTATAGTATGGATTTTGTTAGAGTTTACACTGCGTGAAAACTCAACATCCTTTTTATTGCAAGGTGAAAAGTAGGTCTCCTTAATGCTTCCTTCTGCTCAGTTTGTGGGTGCAGGTTGTCATTTGGAATGCTAAGCTGAATAGTTTTGTCTCCATTTATAATGGGATCCAGGGCAAACACCACACACCATATCAGCAGCTGACTAAATACTTGTTAGAAGAACTTGTTCAACATTCGTACTCTTATGATTGAGATTATTTTAAAAGGATTGTGGATGAAAGATATGGGGTGGGTGGAACAAATTAACAAAGCAACTTACTTGAACACGATGTTCTTCAGTCTCTACCAGGACAAGTGGCAGCAGCTGTGAAGAAGGCCATTGATGTGGGATACCGCCATTTCGACTGTGCCCATGTGTACCAAAATCAAGACGAAGTTGGCAGTGGAATCCAAGAGAAAATCAAGGCAGGGGTTGTAAAGCGAGAGGATCTTTTTGTTGTCAGCAAGGTATTTATATTTAAATTTCATGCTGACCTTTCAATTATTGTTGCTTGTTCAAGACCTTGCAACTGGCTACTAACAATGTTAATGTAATTCTGCATACTTTTGTATAATTTATGCACCCATCTGATTGTATCCAGAGATCCAATGACAGAGAACATTAGAGCCAAGACGTCAGCAGGTACAAAGAGTCGCATAAAAGCATAATAAAACTGCACTAAGCAAACAGTGGTTCAGTTCCAGATTTAAGTCAACAGGACTTCATGACGAACTGCTCATTTTGTTAAGTCTGTTCTAAATATGAAGCAATTTAGAACAGACATTTAAAAATAAATATCAATACAGATTCTAAAGCCCAGAATGCTCAGCAGAGATAAACTTTCATTGTGAGCAACTGCAATTCTGGAAAGAGTTGGCCTGATAGACTAGCATGGAAAAAGCATTTTACAGCATCCATGCAATTACTGAAAGGTCCTGCTGGCAGAAATGGCACTTAAAGGAGTTAATCCTCAGAGCCTAAAAAGGGGCAACTTTAAGATATTTCCTTGTAGTATATTGCTCAAAAAGGAAGTAGGCAATTCTGGTAGAATTTTAATTTTGGATGTGATTTGTTTGCCTTTTGTTAATGTTGTTGTTAGATAAGTAAGTAAACTTTATCACCGTCAAGGACGAGATCATAACAGGAGGACCCAGTCCTGCACATCCACATCAAACCTAAGGGGTTATATGCGCCAATTAGGCTTGGGCGGTTTCGTTCATTAATTTCGTAATTCGTTATTAATTTGTATTTAAATTAGCTTACGATCCAATATTGAGCCATGCAGGAATAGTGTGAGGAGTAAATTAGATTCGAAACAATTTTTTCAATTTATTTCGTAATTATTTCGAAATTATTTCGTAATTATTTCGTAATTATTTTCTCATGTCTGGTGCAAGTTTTATAGTTGTTGTTTGTTTTATCACACCAACAGTCAACAACAGAGGGAGAGGGAAGCTTCAGAAGTTCCCCCTGTCCCATTTGGAGGTTTTTTTAGCATATTGCGCAATCGCATCCGCCATTAACGAATCAATTCGTAATTATACGAAATTTCGTAAATTTCGAAATTTTTAAAAGGAAAATTTCGGAATTGTTTTAAAAAACGAAACACGATGGACCCCTAAAAACGAAACGAGTTTAGAAACAAATTTTTCCGTTGTTACCCAAGCCTAGCGCCGTTGTTGTTGTTGTTGTATGCCTTCAGGCCATTTCTGATTTATAGTAGCGGAATATTTTTACCAAAAAATTGGATGAGTCCAACCCTTCATGTGTCTTTACCTGTCTGAACGTATCTCCCGCTATGAACCACCTAGGGCCTTAATATTATCCAAGGAGGGCCTGCTCGTTGTCCCCCCCCCCCCATTGCAATCAGGGTTAGTGGGGACAAAAGACAGGGCCTTCTCTGTGGTGGCCCCTCAGCTATGGAATTCTACCCCAAGTGAAATCAGATCCTCTCCTTCCCTCCTGACCTTCCGAAAAAGGGTGAAATCCTGGCTGTGGGATCAGGCCTTTGTGGACTAGACTGACACGATGGTAGAGCTATGGTTTAATGGACAGGCTGGGATTTCTGGGAGTTGTAGACCAAAACACCCGAGGAGCCACAGGTTGAGAAACACGGGTCAAATAGGTCTTTTTATTCAGTAGCACGTTGAGAGAATATATGTCATTTGAAGAGTTAATCTCTCTCTCTTGTCTTTCAGCTTTGGTGCACCTTCCATGAGAAATCAATGGTGAAAGGTGCCTGTAAATCAACTCTTGCAGCCCTGAAATTGGACTACCTGGACCTCTACCTAATTCACTGGCCTATAGGATTCAAGGTATTTTAAGTTGCCTTCTCTTTTCAGGGTGAATCTTTTGAGAGAGCAGTGGGCACATAGCCCATCATGGTATTATCTAGAATAGTGTTTGGAGGCTCTTTCGACTTATAGGTTAGAAGTGGAAATCTTGCATAATTCTTGTTGTTATCATTATCATATTATTTCTTTACATTCCACCTTTCTCTCAGAATGAGACTCTTAAGCATTTAACATATTGCAAAAACATGATGCCCACTCTTACAGAGCAAACTTGATACAGAACAAACATTGGTGACATTCTGTTGTTCATAGGATATTGGCTTACAATAAAAAGGCTTAACGTAATTTCCAAAGTTGCACATATTTGTCATTTTTTATAGTTTTCACTCCTTTTACATTTATTATTCATTTATTTACTTCATTTATATCCCACTTTTCTCACCCTGCAGGGGACTCAGAGTGGCATACATCATATATTCGGTGAAATATTCGATGCCTCAATTATACAAACTGTCAAAACATAACATAAAATCATTTTGTTATGTTTTGACAGCTTGACCAGGCTGTGGCACAGCTAGTTAGTAGCCAGCTGCATTAAATCACTACTGACTAAGAGGTCATGAGTTTGAAGCCTGCCCAGGTCTGAATGAGCTTCTAACCATTAATAGTCTAGCTTGCTGTTGACCTATGCAGCCTGAAAGACAGTTGCATCTGTCAAGTTGGAAATTTAGGTACCCCTTTATGCAGTGAGGCTAATTTAACTAATTTCTGACACAATAAAACCTCCCAGCAGGGTGCATAAGAATGAGAAAGTACTCAATCAAGCGCGCAGTGTCACAAGTGGACGGTGAAGCAGCAGCTCTCCCTGTGGCCGGAATTGAGCGTACCCTCATGAAGCTGGAAAGCTGGAATGTTAAATTGCCTCTGTGTCTGTCTATATATGTTGTATGTCTAGTGGTATTAAATGTTTGCCGTGTATATGTGCATTGTAATCTGCCCTGCAGGGTGAGAAGGAAAGGAAAAAAATAAATAATAGTATACATTAGAAATTACAACCAGTAACATATTAAGGATAATAAATCCAATACACCAATACCACATTGCACCAGTCCTTAGTTATAGTTCAGCTGCTTCATATATTTCACAGACTTTCGGTCTAGTAGCAGCTTTGCATACACAATATTAGGTCCCTCACTTCCTGTCATACTCTTCAGGTCACTAAATGAAGATGGCACAGTCACTATGAAAGATGAAAACCTCTTAAATAAAGTCTGCGGGAGGGAGGTCTAATTGACTGATTCCTCCTGAACAAGGGATCTCCCTTGTTCAGGAGGAATCAGTCAATTAGACCTCCCTCTCTCAGGCCCAGCTAGGTCCAACCAAGTTCTCCCAATACTCCTTCCCCCTCTCTCCCTTAAAGGCAAATGGCAGGGTCCCTCACCTCCACCCCACCCCGTTACTACCTGCCACATTATTCAAAAAGGGGGGCTATGAAAAGGTCAGGAAAGCAGTGGGAGAGGCAGCATAAGTCGCCTGGGAAAACCACCAGAATCTCTGTTCGGAAGAATATGTCTGTAGTCATTACTTGTTATAAATCAACTCCATATCTTTAGAAGAAAATCCATTAACATTCTTTTTTTGTATTTGGCAGGCTGGAGATAATATGTTTCCTAGTGATGAAAAAGGCATGGCCATACCCAGTAACACAAGTTTCCTAGATACCTGGGAGGTATGTCTTGCAATTAGAAGTTTCTCTTTCTTCTGAACAGTTCCACATTGGTCTCATGTACCTTGTGCTTATTTAGTGTAAATATTGCAGATTTGTTTTTGCTGACGTTATGCTTTGTATGATGTTTTCTCCACTTTTTAATTACCGTATATACTCGAGTATAAGCAGACCCTAATATAAGCCGAAGCACCTAATTTTACCACAAAAAACTGGGAAAACTTATTGACTTGAGTATAAGCCGAAGGTGGGAAATGCAGAAGCTACTGGTATATTTCAAAATAAAAATAGATACCATTAAAATTACATTAATTGAGGCATCAGTATGTTAAATATTTTTGAATATTTACATAAAACTGTAATTTAAGATACGACTGTCCAGCTCTGATTAAATCATTATTCTAATCTTCAGTGTAAATGTGCTTACGTATCCTTCCAATAATAATAAAGAGAGTAAAATAATGATGATGATGATGAAATCCAGCATATATACCTCGTTTTCTGTGTCGGAATAATAATAATAATAATAATAATAATAATAATAATAATAATAATAATAATAATGGAAATGTAATAGCAGTAATAACAGAGTAAAATAATAAATGCAGTAACAATAAAGTAAAATAATAAATGTAATAATAATAATAATAATGAGTAAATAAATAATAATAATAATTGAGTAAAATAATAAATGTAATAAAATAATAATAGAGTAAAATAATGTACATGTAATAATAATACTAATAATAATAATAATAGTAATTTAAGATATTTTTGCCATTATCTATGTGTATTTATATTAAAATAATACATGTGATAAAATGATACTAATAACAAAGTAAAATAATAAATAACCTTGACTCGAGTATAAGGCGAGGGGAATTTTTTCAGCCTAAAAAGGGGTCTGAAAAACTAGGCTTATACTCGAGTATATACAGTAAATATTTTTATTAAATATTTTATGCTTTGTATGATGTGCTCTCCACTTTTTTATTAAATATTTTACCATGCCAACCTGTTATCTTGCAGCAGTTGCTTTATTGAAGCACATGGGAACTTACTAGTTTGAAAATAATCACTATTACACCTGTCAGCAATTGAACTATTGTGCCCTCATCCTTTGCTTCTGCTTTCCTTTCCCAGCACTCTTTTTTTCCTGGGAGTGTTGGGCTATTTACTTACTTTACTTCTACAAATTAAAAACAAGGCAAATACATAAAAACATGTTTTTTAAAAAAATCTTACACGCTATGAAGCATTCAAACAATAAAATATAATTTAAATGCAATAAAATACAATTAAAACTACAGTTGAAAACTATACAGCCCCCCGCTCAATCCCACACACACTATCCTCAGCAGTCCGCTTCTCATCGTTCCCTAAATGAATGGTGGCAGAAGTATGTTTACACCTGGCTGGGAATACTTAGTGGTAGGTTTGCCAGTTTGTTCCTCTGAAATATAGCCTACAGTACCTGGAGTTCATTTGGTGGTCTCCCATCCCAGTACTATCTAGGGTAACCGTGTTTCACTTCCAAATCAGATATCATCTGATTTTTTTAGGGCATTTAGATCTTTTGGACGACCACTGCAGAATGAATACAACAAAATTAAATGAGTGAAGGCATGCATGTGGTTTCAGATTAACCCCCAAACCTTTGTGCCTAAACAAACTCATTACGAAAAATGTTGGGTTCTTATGTCATTCCTCCATTAATTTAATTTACAGTATTTTAAAATATCAGAAGGTGAGAAGTAGTAGTGCTATCATGTGACTGTGTCTTTAAATTAGTCTCACATAATCTCCCTTCACGAAGGACTGTGTCGTATGATAATATTTGCCTTTGGTGTGTATTAGGGAATGGAGGAGCTGGTGGATGCTGGATTAGTGAAAGCGATTGGGGTTTCCAATTTCAACCACGAACAAATTGAGAAAATCTTGAACAAGCCTGGATTGAAATACAAGCCTGTAAATAACCAGGTAAGATGGCTGTTGATATAAATTGGATGCATTTGATTATTGTGAAAGGGAAATGGTTTTATAATACAAAATACGCATTGGGAGAGGGGAGGGTGCGGATTAAGGCTGATGTTAATAAAAAGGTGTCGTGCTGTAGAATACATCTGATTTTTGGCCATTACACTGTATTATTTCAAATTCTTGGATTTATTTATTTATTCAACTTGTATACCGCTACTCCCAATTTGGCTCGGAGCGGTTTACAGAAACAGATTAAAACAATATAATTAACTTTAAAAATAACCATAACAATAACATTAGACAGCGAGAACAGGCATAGCCCAAAATAATAACACTGTGATTTTTATTTTATTGTTTTTAAACAAATACACTTAAAATAACTATCTTTTATGGATACTAATGTTAATATAATATAGTAATGTAATATAATAATATTGTATAATAATAATAATAATAATAATTTTGGGTCTTGTCATGACCGACTTGAGAAACTGCAAGTCGCTTCTGGCGTGAGAGAATTGGCCGTCTGCAAGGATGTTGCCCAGAGGACACCCGGATGATTTGATGTTTTATCATCCTTGTGGGAGGCTTCTCTCATGTCCGCGCATGAGGAGCTGGAGCTGATAGAGGAAGCTCATCCACCTCTCCCCGGATTCAGACTTCAGTCCTGCCAGCACAGGGGTTTAACCCACTGCGCCACCGGGGGCTCCTAGAATAATAATTTATAATAATGTAATATAAAGGTGTGGTGATTGGTTTGATGGTGTTTGCATGGTTTTCGAGCCACAAATTGTAGAAGAAGTGACAAAACTAATGTGGCTTACCCACATTTTGGTCAGTCTCTTTTGACATGCAGTTGATGTGCAGATAGAGCAGTGGTTTCCAACTTGTGGTCCGTGGATGACTAGTGGTCCGCAAGAATTAAAATATGGTCCGTGGCCTCATCGTTACTACACCATTGCAACAAAAGCGACTGGTCCCGCGAAACCCTCTTATTGTGCCGAGGCTTATTAAATATGGTTTTCTGTTGGCGACCAGATGGTGACTACTGGATGGCATATGTTCTGTATCAGAAACTAGAGCTGATGTGGTCTATCCAGTGCAATTTTCTGAATCAGCATCCCAAATCACCATACTGAACCTAAAGTTGACCAAAAAGTGATTCGTAACCCTTTTGGTACTAATGTTGGAGAGTGGTCCCTGGTCAAAAAAACGTTGGGAACCACTGAGCTAGAGAAACAGATCAGTATAAGCCCAGTATAAGCTATAATTGTTCATTGAGAGAGGCATTATGACAAGCCATGGTTTAAACAAGTTGGAACTCATAAATCAATGTCATATCATAGTTTCAGATTATGGTTTATGACTAGTGAACAGGGTTCATATATTGCAACATGCCACAGTTAAATAATGACTTGATTGGACATACAAATAAATTCGTGTTTCAGCACCTTTTATTGGAAGCCTCTCTGAATTTAACAAATGGTTGGAGCAGAGCTCAGACATAATTATATAGATTGTGCAATATAGACCATAATACAGAATTGTGACTTTTATGTATAAAAGATCATTCAGAAAACAATATTATTTGGTGATGGTTTGTTGTTGTTCATTCGTTCAGTCGTCTCAGACTCTTCGTGACCTCATGGACCAGCCCACGCCAGAGCTCCCTGTCGGCCGTCACCACCCCCAGCTCCTTCAAGGTCAGTCCAGTCACTTCAAGGATGCCATCCATCCATCTTGCCCTTGGTCGGCCCCTCTTCCTTTTACCTTCCACTTTCCCCAGCATAATTGTCTTCTCTAGGCTTTCCTGTCTCCTCATGATGTGGCCAAAGGACTTCAACTTTGTCTCTAGTATCCTTCCCTCCAGTGAGCAGTCGGGCTTTATTTCCTGGAGGATGGACTGGTTGGATCTTCTCGCAGTCCAAGGCACTCTCAGCACTTTCCTCCAACACCACAGCTCAAAAGCATCGATCTTCCTTCGCTCAGCCTTCCCTAAGGTCCAGCTCTCACATCCGTAGGTTGCTACAGGGAATACCATGGCTTTGACTAGGCGGATCTTTGTTGCCAGTCTGATGTCTCTACTCTTTACTATTTTATCGAGACTGGACATTGCTCTCCTCCCAAGAAGTAAGCATCTCCTGATTTCCTGGCCACAGTCTGCATCTGCAGTAATCTTTGCACCTAGAAATACAAAGTCTGTCACGGCCTCCACAATTTCTCCCTCTATTTTCCAGTTGTCAATCATTCTTGTTGCCATAATCTTGGTTTTTTTGGTGATGGTTTAGAAATATATTAAATTGACCTTGTATATTTCCCACCTTTAAAAATTCACAGTCATAATAACTGGTCAAGTATAACATTTAAAGATGTGAGGAAAAGGTAATTGGAAAGTGAGAGCTGGCAAATCCGCACTTGGTGACCCTCAGGGTAAACCCCAAAGAGCAATGCATACTGAGAACCAAGTATCGTGTGGCAGAGATGCATGGAGTAGTATTACTTTCTAAAAATAGCGGTCTATTTAACTAGAGCCATGTCTGCATACAGTTGCCTTGCTGGTCTCTTTCAAAAAAATATGTCAGTGTCTATTTGCTGCTTCAGCAAGTTATCCCACTGAGCTCATATGGTCAGGTTTATATGTGAATTTCCCAAGATTTATATTTAAATTTCATGCTTGCAATGTATGGGAAGTTGCAATAAAGTCTCCTGTATAAGTTTTGCAACTGTGCTCCTCAGCAACTGCGTAACTTTACCCAGAAGGGTTCCACATCATCCTTATTCGTTTGCCAACAAAATATCTTCCCAGCATAGCATCTGAAAGAGGAACAGCAGCAACAACAACAATAATATTAAAGAGGCCTGCAAAGCCCAGGACAGAGACCTCTTTATGACAACAACAACAACAACAACAACAACAAGAATCCCTGAAAGGCCCGGGACAGAACCCTCTTCGTGGCACAATAATAATAATAATAATAATAATAATAATAATAGTGATGATGATGAGTCCTGAAAGTCCCAGACAGAGCCCTCTTTATGGTCCCCAAGGAGCCCTTTCTTTTTAGGATATTAATAATAATAATAATAATAATCATACTTTATTTATACCCTGCTACCATCTCCCAAGGGACTCAGTGTGGCTTACATGAGGCCGGCCCACAATACATCAATAATAAAAACAATAGCAACAAGTAATACAGAACAATAAAAATAAACTCATAACAGAAAATAAGCAATAAACATTAACAGTAACACAATAATAATAATAATAATAATAATAATAGTGATTATTATGAGTTCTGAAAGGCCCAGACAGAGCCCTCTTTATGGCCCCCAAGGAGCCCTTCCTTTTCAGGATAATAATAATAATAATAATAATAATAATAATAATAATAATACTTTATTTATACCCCTCTACCATCTCCCCAAGGCACTCGGTGTGGCTTACATGAGGCTGAGCCCACAATACATCAATAATAAAAACAATAACAACAAGTAATACAAAACAATAAAAATAAAACTCATAACAGAAAATAAGCAATAAACAGTAACACAACGACGTTTAAAAACCTATGGCTGGGCCAAGTGTAATAATTAAAATTTAAAAATAATGCTGAGCATGAACTAGGATACAGTTTTCAAAGAGGGATGGGCGTGCAGACACTCCTAGATCAATAATAAAGTGCATTTAGAGGACATATTGCTGGGAATTTCCTTATTCTGGGAAGGCACACTGGAACAACCACGTTTTCAGGAGGAAGAAGAGGAACCATAATAATAATAGTAATAATAATAATGATGGAGCCCCCAGTGGCACAGTGGGTTAAACCTTTGTGCCAGCACGACTGCTGACTGAAAGGTCGGCGGGTCGAATCTGGTGAGCAGGGTGAGCTCCTGTCTGTCAGCTCCAGCTTTCCATGTGGGGACATGAGAGAAGCCGCCCACAGGATGGTAAAACATCTGGGCATTCCCTGGGCAACGTCCTTGCAGACAGCCAATTCTCTCACACCAGAAGCAACTTGCAGTTTCCCAAGTTGCTCCTGACACGAAATAATAATAATAATAATAATAATCCCTGAAAGGCCCAAGACAGAACCCTCTTCATGGCACCATAATAATAATAATAATAATAATAGCAATAATAATCATGATGATAATGATGACGAAGAGCTCTGAAAGGTCCTCCCTATAGCCCTCAAAGATCCCCTGCTTTCCAGGAGGAAGAAGAGGAACCATAATAATCATAATCATAATGATGGTGGCCCCCGTGGCACAATGGGTTAAACCCTTGTGCTGGCAGAACTGCTGACCGAAAGGTCAGCGAGTCAAATCCAGTGAGTGTGGTAAGCTCCCATCTGTCAGCTCCAACTTCCCATGCAGAGACATGAGAGAAGCCTCCCACGGGGTGATAAAACATCTGGGCGTCCCCTGGGCAAGTCCTTGCAGACAGACAATTCTCTCATACCAGAAGCGACTTGAGGTTTCTCAAGTCCGTCCTGACACAAAATAATAATAATAATAATCAGAAAGCTACCAAATTTATTTTGACACAAGACAGGAGAAAAGCCGTCAAGCAGCTAAGATTGTTAAATACTGCAATTTCTGTGCTTCAGCTATGCCCAAAATCGGGCAGCTGCTTCATTATGTCAATGAAAGGTCCAACAAAAAAGGAACAAGGTGAAATCTCGAAGTGGTGTCAGCTGATATGGAGGACCACTAGTTCATTTTTCTCTTAACTCTCTCTTAACTCCATCCTCCTTCCTGGGATTCAGTTAGTTTTTTTAAAAAAAAAGTGAAAATGTGATATAGAAAATGACTGGAGCTGATGGTTTGGCACAATGAGTGAAACCTAACCCAACTTGTGCTGACACTAAGTGTCCTTCCCAATACAACCCTTTTTCTCATTGCATTCCAGTTTAGAACACAAAACCAGATTTCCCAATAAGGGCCTTCTGGCACAGACATATGACTTTCCTCTCTGGTGTTGCGCATTGATGGGC